CCCCCCCCCTCCCTTGCCCCGTGGACGTAGGCACATTGCCGAACCACGTAAATTCGCTGTCTTGCTGTTTGGTATTTGAGTTTTGGTTATGTTGATTACTTTCTTCTCGTTCGTTGGTTTGTGATTCGTCCGCTGCGCACAACAGTAGTGATGCACCTTTATACTTAAATATTCTAGTTTGTAAAAAGTAACACTTTTATACTCTAAATTGTAAGAAAGCAACACTTTAATACATTCGGTCAATTGTCATGACAATTTCCTAAGAATATTCCCACGAAAACTAACAAATATATTCCATCATCAATTTTAAATCAAATAAAAACAATACATAATATCAACCCCCCATACACGCACGCATCCTAATCCTGACATATATAACGTAGTCTTAATATATCGAAGTCCCGTGGACCTAAATCAATGCCTAGATATTCCTAAATAAATCAAGGCAGCTTGGAGACTGAAGCCCTCTACTCCAAAACTTAGAATAATACTCCGCATACGTGAAGCTCTTGTACACCGCAGGATTTTCTCCGTCGGTCAATGCCTCCGGCGGTTTGATCACCGCTTCTGGAGATGGACAGTAGAAAGTTGGAACAGAGATCCTCTCCTTGTGGCTATTAACCACTGCTCGATGAAGCACGCTCTTGTAACGATCATTGCTAAGTACCTATAACAAAACGAGATATATATTAACATATATACTACAATTAGCATTTACATGAAAAATAGAGAATATTACATGGCTTTAGATACTATATACGTAGTTTAATTATTACGGCTCTGATTGTAACGTAAATGTCAGTTGCATGCACCTGCAGTTGCTTTAAACGTTGTCACGTGTAGTTGAATGTATATGTGGTTAACTCAATTTTGAAAATTTACAGCTTGTAGATGTAATTGATTACATTGCAGTGTTTATTTTAGAATGTTAGCTTTTTTTTTGTATTATAATGGGAATTGATTGAAATTAGAGCTGTAATCTAGCCCCATTTTTAGGTCCAATGGATTATGTCACTTGGATAAAAACTACACGCGTATCAATATTTTATGATCCATCTTCAAACCCCTCTATTTTGTACCACCATCAAAATTGTTTCGGTCCTTGGAGCACCAACTGTCCAGTAAATAAGGTCAGTTTTAGATTAAGAGAGTTTCTACCTGAATTTGATCCCCGATATTGATGACAAATGCATTGGGTATTGGTTTGACCGCCACCCACTTGCCGTTTCTGAGGACTTGCAAGCCGGCGACTTCATCTTGAAGAAGGATGGTGATGGCGTTCGGATCTTTATGACCCGGCAAGCCGAAAGTCAACTCTGGCTGAGGACACCGTGGGTAGTAGTTCATCGCCATATGCTGTGCTTGTTTTCCAAGTGCTTTTTCAATGTAGTCCTTTTCAAGACCTAAGCTTTCTGAAATTGCCTCCAATAGTATTAGAGTCAGCTCTCTCACTTTCTTGCAGTATTCACCAACTACCTCCCTGAAGAAGAAGAAGAAAAAAATTGAATAGAGAACTAACAATGTGCATATATGGATAAATACGGATTATGTTCGTAATTTATGATCTGAACATTTTACCAATTTAGAGCGATGGAGCTAGATGTGCGTACATTAGTATCACACCAGCTAAGAAATTTTGGCATGAGAATTTCGACTCTGAAGTTTTGATTACTTTCAGATTACTTTTTTTTTTCAGATTCCTTTTTTTTACTGACTGGAAAATTGTTAGTAAACTTTCCATCAAAATAAACAGCCCTAACAATTATAACAAGTAACGCCAATTCTTAGGGGCTGTTTGGTTGCACACTTTTTGAGAAAACTTTTCTCAAAACATCTGACAATGGCAAATTTGTAATTAAAAGTTTTCCAGAGATTTCTGTAAATTGTGTTTGGTTCAACAAAAAATTTACAGAAATATTTTCTATAAAATATCAAAACCTACCAAATTTTACAAAAAGCAATTTCCTCTCAAAATGAGAGAAAATTACCAGAAATCTGACACATACCATATTTAATTAAAAACCTACAAAATCTTGTTATTTTCTATAAAGTTATGAGATATTTTCTTATTTTGAACCAAACAAGCCAAGTACAAAAAATAAGAAAATTGGTACTTTTTGATTTCTCAAAATTTTTCCTATAATTTTTTTAAGAAATACAAGGAAATCATATTTTAGGTGGAAAACATTTCCTATAATTTCTAGAAATTGAACCAAACACCCCCTTAGCGTAGAAAGAACTAATTCCTTTTTTTCTCAAAGTTATGAGGTGATATATAAGGTACATAAGTATTTATTGTATATAATTAATTATTACCTGAAATCAGAGGGATTAGAGGGCCATTCATGCACAAAATCTTCAAGAGGGTAGCAATGAAGTCTCAAAAAATCTCTCCAATTGCTGATTTTCTCAGCGGATACGTTGAAGCTTGTTGAAAGCCTGGTTGTTTTCAGTGGATTGTTTGAGTAGTTCTTCATTCTTTCAGACTCTGGCAGGTTGAAGAACTCCTTGGCAACTCGTAGGATCTCGCTGATCAATTTCTCAGGTACCCCATGATTCTTTATCTGAATAAAATTGAAAAATATATATAATTAGTTTAATTGGTAATGCAATAACTGAAGTTTTGAAATTATGAAAGTGCATGCACGATCCACGTGTGTGATTTATGTGACGGTACAAGAAAACTATGTAGAACGCAACAATATATTTAAAATTATTGGAGGAAACTGGATCCTTTCGAACCTTTTATTTTATTTTATTTTCATGTCCACATATATTTACCCACAAAAGAAAAAAAGATTTTTTTGTTCTATACGCATCTACCCAGAATAAAAATTATATCCGAGATATTATAAAACTAAACCGCATTAATTGTTTTAATACCAGCTACCACTTTAATTTACTTCAACAGCTTATACACAAGCATATATCTAGAATCATGATGTATTAGAGGGCGGCAGGGGGAAACAAAAAGAAGGGAAAAAAAAATAATATCACCTGAAAGAATCCGTTGCTTTTACAAGCAAAACCAATTTCTTTAACCACTTTTGATCGGTTGGGTCCAGAAATCTCATCAAGATCAATCACAGGAATCGACGGCGGACGGGAATCCTCCACGCCGAAAAGATCGGGCCGGTCGGAGACGGGCCTGATGTAGCTTGAAGGAACGTAGTTGACATTGGATACAATGTCAGTGAGAAGAAGCTTGGGGGTAGAAGCGATGGCCATGGGGAATAATATTAGAACAAGGTTATTAATTAAAGCTAAGTAATTGTTGCTTAATTTAGCATAGGCCTTAATTAATTTGGTCGTGAGGATGCTCTCATTGAGTGTCCTATTTATAATGGTAGGAAGCGGTGGTGGAACTAGTTTTACTTGATTTGTCAAACCAAACTTGAACCCTACACCATGTGATCTCCTATGTTAAGATATCCAATGGTCCATGTAGACCCCTTGTACTACTAATGCTTTGTGACTTATTATCTCTTAAGTTTGATATTGACTGATAGCCCCCCCTGTTTGGGTGAGACGTTGTTTACGACGAGGGCTGTGGTGGATACGGAGCGACAGTGACGAATGGAGGGCAGAGTGCATGTGACAATACATGAGACTTTACCGTAACCCTCTAATGATGTTTAATTAGAAAGGTATATATGTGCGATTAACCATTACATTAATAATAAGACAAGAAAAGAATAAATCCCAAATTTGGTACAGTAATTCCTAATTCTTTATCAATTAATACGTCAGAAACTGTCTATTCTTGAATCAGTAATAACGCATTTCGAAAATTATTGTCGTGGTTCAAGGACGGTCCTTTTTGTCCAAACATCAACAGATTTTTCATGAAACCGAGCGAACCGAAAAGAAATGATTTTGACTTTTCATGGAACTGAACTAACCAAAAAGAGATGCGTAGAGCTTGATGTTTGAGAGCAACGTCATGTGCCTTTCGTCAGCAAGATGACGTTGGACTAACGTGGGCATGCATTTTATAATGTTAAAAAAAAATCAAAATGATTGATTCACCTACTTATTTTGGTGGGGACTTATGATAGGATCCTTTTTTGGCAGATCTGGTGTAAAAAAAAATAGGAATAGGCAAGATATATATATATGTGCGGCGCCGGAAAAACCTTGGTGGATCCTAATTGGATGATGTGAAGTTATGAATACAAGATGAGAGACGTAGTATGTTTGAGTTTGGGAACTTAAGAGTTCAATGTTTTATGATTTGAGGAATTGGCAAATGGTTGGGGAAAATTGTTGCCTCGTCAGAGATCTAGAGCAACACGCATTGTTAAGTTTGCATAGTTGGGCTAGAGATCATTTGATTATGTACTACTGTAATTGCAATGCAAGTTTCAGTCATATATGATTATCGGTTCTATAAATATTGTTTAACCATTTGTAGTTGCAAATATTTACATAAATAATTTTTACGTTCTAGAAACGTTGCAACTCTAGTTTATGTCCAAATTTGCGTAAGTCGTTAGTTACAAGTGAAGCTTTTTTACAATTGCAATTCCAACTATTTATTAGTTGTGGTGAAAAAAAACCATTCAAAGAAATATACTAAGGTGCTCCATTGATATGCGCTTATTTTCAACTATTAAGATTAACTATTAAGATTTAAATTTTCAACTAAGGTGCTCCATTGATATGCGCTTATTTTATGCAGGTCATAGTCAATTACTTTGTTCCTAGTTTGAGAAAAATAAATTTCCATATTCTCCATTGACCTCACTTTTTTTTTTTGATAAACCCCATTGAGCTTACGTAGAAACTAATGAAGTTAGTTGAATACTTATCATTTACAAAGTTCCTAATCTAAGTGAGATGATATATTTCTGTTGCAAGATACTGAACATTTAAACTTATGTTAATATGATAATGGTGCACGTCTTCTATGTTTGTCATTTTTAATTTGTAATAAATATACTTTTTTTAACTGAAAAACAGGGTTAGGTACCCTGTTGATAAGATATATTATATAAGGATATTTAAAAAAGTTTGATACAAAAACAAAAACCAACAATAGAGCCGAGATGTAAGAACACAGTAGGAAGTTGGTCAGGAGCGGACCTAGTCGTCACATACCGAACTAACACTAACAGTGTTCTCACCCAAGGCCAAAAGAAAAACACACTAAATACTATGTAGTCTGATACATCAAGGCCCCAACACAGTAAAAAAGAGAAAAAGCCAACAACAACCATATCCTACTCAAAACACAGCGTACGTAGTCCATCAATCAGCTGCATCTAGAACAAATGAAACAACTGCAAATAGAAAATTATCTTTTTTTTGGGTTCAATTTGTCTATCTTTAATTTGTCTATTTAAACTTTTTTTTTGGTAAAATATTATTATAATTTTCAATTTTGATTTGATTTAGTCTCGGCTCAACTAACTTTTAACGTGGAGAGAAAGAGGTCATTCTGGAGTGGTTAGCTTTTTTATTGTCAAAACAAGGAAAGATCTTAATTTTAAACAATATTTATGTGCTTTATTACACGCTTTGGTTTTTCTAAAAGTTTTTTTTTTATGTATGTCAACCATATTAATGTGGGGAAAAAGTACAATGTTATCAATGCACAAGTAACTGTAGGCAAATTATGCTAAAGATAGTTTTGAGCTAATCCTGATTACCTTCTGAAATAGTAATTAATACAGCTGTTGGTGACTTTGCAATAACTTGGTCGCCACGGATAATATATCAATAACTTAGACAATTTATTTTCATATTTTGTAATGTGGTCATCTTTATGAAAAATACGCCTTTTCCTTCAATAACAAACGAAAGTTTTGATATTCAACTTTCAAAAGTTTTATGTATTCCCTCTATTAATGCGCAAGTAACTGCAGCCATCAGCTGCATCTAGTACCCATGAAACAGCTGAAGATAGAAAATTATCTTTGCACGGTCCCATTTTGTCCACCTTCATCTATTTGATTTTTTTTTTTCAATTTCGATTTAGGCAAGATAGAGCATCGTCATAAAGAAATTTTTTGTTTAACACATGTCGGCATAGATGGTTATAATCAATTTTGCAAAGAATCAGACGTTCCTCCAGATTACATTATGGAGGTGGCGAATCTAGTCTATCAAATGTTGCGTCCTAAAATAGGTCTTTCACAAAGGCTATGTTTGGTTTGAGAGAAAGGGGGAGAAAGGAAAGTAAAATAAAAGAGAAAGTGAGTTTCTGGTGTTTGGTTTAAAAGAAAACAAAAAAGAAAACGAAAATCATTTTCACTGCAGAAAAACAGAGCGCTACTTTTTCTTTCCCCATTTCTCTCCGCTGCCCCTGTGAAAACGAGGGAGAGAGACGGAAAAAATCCCCCGACGCGATCACGACGATCCCGATCTCTCCTCGTCGCCAAACTCGAGTCCCCTCTCTCTCTCGGAAAAAATCCCCCGACGCGATCGCGGCGATCCCGATCCTGATCTCTCCCGCCTCCCGCTGTTGAGCCGACGCCGACGCATCCTCGGCTCCCACCTCCCGCCTCCCGCTGTCGAGCCGACGCCGACGCCGAGATAAGGTAAGGTTTGAACAAGACCTTAGAAACCCTAGTTAATGTTTCCAATATACTGTTCGTATAGATTTTGAATCGATTGTTAGCTATGGGAATATTGTGTATACCCAGCGATCTGATGGAAATATGAGATTCTGATCGAGATTTTGAATGGATTGGTATGCTGCGATTTTGGATCCAGGCAATTTAGTCAACAATTGTGAGGGAATAGATCTTAAAATTTTAGCTAATTTCATGAAGAGGATTTTGGTTATTCCCACATTTAGTTTATTTCTCAGTACTGTTTTGGTCTCGATCCAAAATGCTCCTAATTATGCTTCTCATGCAGTTCTATTTGAATGAATCTCGAGAAAGTATTATTAAGTTCTTGTTATCTGCAAATTTTGAGTACTATGCATTTACCAAGGTGAGCTTCGATTCGAGCTCGTAATTATTTTTTATATGGATTTTGTTCTGTGGGGATGCTCTTCTATGGATTTTGTTCTATACTTCAGCAAAATCACCTTCAATTTATACTATTCTTACAGCTAAAGAAATAACCAGGCACAAAAAGGAAAAGGTTATATTCATCCACCACCTTGTTTACTTTGAAGTTAGAGAAATAAAGGAACATTAACAACAGTCCACATTGATTATTTGCTTCCTTTTGCACTTCCGAACACTAATAATATTTATTTCATCCTGTCTGAAAACATGCAGGAGCCATGATGTTGTGTTAATAAGGGTTTCATGTGATAGGGGAAGCAAATGGGCTTTTTTTTTCTATAACTGAAACTTGTATTCTGATTTTTAGAGATAATGTTCACTCCAATTCCTACATTTCTTGTTAAGTTGCTCGTTCGAGTAAATTATCTTTTCAGTTATTGGCTTGTAAATGCTTAGTGTTATAAATTTCAGTTATAAATTATAATAGTTTTTTTTTTGTGTGTGTGTGTATATTGAAGAGCTGGATAAGTGTCTATGCTACTTAAATCACTCTTTATTTGTTAAATAAGGATGCTGTGTCGTTTATCCTAAAATAACACCACATAAAGAAACTCCATACGCGAAATGGGAATCAGGTCATAGCCAATTAACTGCAGGTTCTTTCGTTCCCCTGTCATAAGCACATAAACTACTATTATTAAAACTTAAAATGGGATAACATTATTATCTCTTTGAAGGAAGTATTTTCGAATTTATTCGAAAATCTACTCCCGGCATTCAACTTGACTAATTACATCCACTTGGATCTCTTGAGGATGGTGCTCTTTATTTGTTTTTTGAAGTATTTTTGAATTTATTCGAAGTTATCTGACAATAATCAGTTTTTATTCAGGATGGTGCTCTTTATTTGTTTTTTGAAAATTTCAAATGTTTTTTTTCCTTTTTTTGCTTTGTAGTTAATGGCAAAATCGATGATCACTAAATCTGAATTGATGTTTTCGTTTTGTTCACTCGCAATTAGGTTGTCTTTGGTGATATCTTTGATCTTTTCGGAACCGCTCCAGATTCTACTGCAGGTTTCTCTTGGATCTCTCTGTCAACATGAATACAAATTCATCCGAGGTAAATTCTGTTCATATTTAAGATATGGGCGCATTTCAAGACATGCAGAATTCTTCTAGTGGATTTGCATTTAATCGAGTGACAAGGATGATGGATGCGGAGCCAAAAGTTTGGGAAGATTACATAAAGGTACGTTGAATAATTAGTCATTTATTATTTTTATCTAAATTGTACTCTGGTCATGTTTCTGCAATAGGCCAATGTCTGCTCCGGTTTAGAACAATGGTAGCATATATGTACGATAGTTCTTCTGCTTGAATTACTTTCAGTTTGTTGAAATTATTGCAAGTGAAATTGGACTGAGTTGCGTATGAACGCTTTTTCAAATAGGCAGCAAGCATAAGCTGATGTTTATTTGCTCGTAAATTCAGGTTCACTTTTGCTTAAATTCTTTCAAGCAGAGTATTTGTATGAATACTTTCATGGATTTCTGAATCTAATAATTCAGGTTCACTTTTGCTTAAATTCTTTCAAGCAGAGTATTTGTATGAATACTTTCATGGATTTCTGAATCTAATAATTCAGGTTCACTTTTGCTTAAATTCTTTCAAGCAGAGTATTTGTATGAATACTTTCAAGCTCGTAAATTGGACTAATAATTTTGTGTTTTCTTTATCTATTAATAGGCACATCCTGGAGCAAAACAATTTCGTTACAAACCTGTACCGTGTTTTGAAAACTTGCAAATCATTTATGGGAAAGACAGGGCTGGTGGTTTATCTTCTGAAACTATCAAAGAAAGACGTGCTCGCATAGAAAATGAAAGAGATGAATCAAGTTTACCAATATGCCCCACAGTCTCACTGCTCATTTATGTATTAGAACATGCCTTGTTGTTTTTAAACATTGTTATACATGTGAAATAATCTAATATATGTGCGATGTATGTATATGTCCCATATGCTGCAATAAGAACATATTCTCTTTTCTATATTGCTTTCAAATTTCTTTTGCTTCATTTTGTTTTCCTTTTTTCCTATAAAAAAAATCCCTTTATTTAGATGAATCTACTGAGCTATTCCTTAGGTGATTAGTTTTGTTTTCCTTGTAGTCTCTTCTGCTTTTGGGTTAATGTTTCATGTTGTGTATAGGTAATTTTGTCACTAGTACTGCAGTTCTTCCTTCCAAACAATTGCTACTTCTTTGTGTTATAGTCCTTTTTGGATTAGTAGAAAGCACGGGCATTTTGTCAAAATGAATTTCTGAATCTCCTATGTGTGACATGTACCAGACAGAAAAATATGTGAACAACAATTTGCCTGAAGCCTGTCAATGAAACTGTAATATTCTTTTGAGGGGTTTTGTTTGATGCCTCGGGATTAATAGTTGAAGCAGAGTTGTTAGGTGTCCGATGATAATCACCATACTGCCAATGCAAGTCATGAAGATAATTTATGTTAATTATTAGTCGAGATTTTGTTCCCCACCTGCTGTTTAGAGTTTAATCCAAGTGTCCACAGTTGTCACGCACATGTTCCACTCTTCGTCTTTGTACTGTATATTGCTTCTTTGGTTTTAAGTAATGTTGCATATTAACAAGCAGGCCGTTCATATGGATTCACAGCTTGGAAATCAATCAAATTCAAAGAAAAATATTGTATGGACAGAGAAGATGGATATTTGCTTAACTGAAACATTGAGAGAACAAGTGCACAAAGGGCAAAAGCCCGATAGAAGTTTCTCATATCATGCTTATCAAGCAACATGTGCAGAGTTATATGCTAAATGTGGAATAAAGGTTGAAGTGGATCATATTAAAAACCGATTGAAGACACTTAAAAAAGATATGGGCGCATTTCAAGACATGCAGAATTCTTCTAGTGGATTTGCATTTAATCGAGTGACAAGGATGATGGATGCGGAGCCAAAAGTTTGGGAAGATTACATAAAGGTACGTTGCATAATTAGTCATTTATTATTTTTTGTCTAAATTGTACTCTGGTCATGTTTTTGCAATAGGCCAATGTCTGCTCCGGTTTAGAACAATGGTAGCATATATGTACGATAGTTCTTCTGCTTGAATTACTTTCAGTTTGCTGAAATTATTGTTCATTCACAATTTAGATGAGCCTGTAGTCTCTCAACTGCTCGCATGTGGATGGGCGATTTTGAGCTTCACCTGAAACGGGTAGGGGCTAAATGGGTAATGTCCCCTGCCCATTGTAAGTAAATGGCCCATTCTGAGGGGGGAATTCCTATTCGACTCGAATCAGATTGCGGCGACCAAGTTTTCGACATATTTATGCAGAGTTCATGATGGTTGGGAACTAATAATTTTTTTTTAAAATTAGGATAAGCATCTACCTGTAATTAATTAGGCCTACCTATAATTAGGACCCCGCTGGTAGCACATGAAGTAACTACCTGTATTCACATCCAGGGACATTAATCTTGGCTTAAGTGGGAGGGTAGCAAACCAAAAGAATCTTTCACCTAATATGTGTACGTAGGAGGTAGCAAACCAAAACAAGCTCTCGGTTTTTGTATATAGAGTCACTCATCTCATCTCCTTAATTTTGCTTGTAACTGCACTGAACAAATATTCTCTTTTCTATACCTGCATTGATGTATCCTTCTATGGCTATTTGTGCTACAGCTCCAATACAGCCGTGACTTGTGTGCAACTAATAATTTTGTGTTTTCTTTATCTATTAATAGGCACATCCTGGAGCAAAACAATTTCGTTACAAACATGTACCGTGTTTTGAAAACTTGCAAATCATTTATGGGAAAGACAGAGCTGTTGGTTTATCTTCTGAAACTATCAAAGAAAGACGTGCTCGCATAGAAAATGAAAGAGATGAGTCAAGTTATATCAATACAAATCAAGATGATAGAGAAGCTGTTCAAGAGAATGATGTAGAATGCATCGGCCCTTCAAAAGGTAAAGAACAAGATCCCAAAACCCATTCTACAGCGGGAACATCTTCTAAGGTGATATATAAAAGAAAGCATAGTGCCACTAGCAACTTGGGTGAAGAGCTTGATGGGCTAAAAAGCGGAATGGAGTCAATTGCTTCTGCAATTTGGAAGACCGGTCCTCGTTTTTACACAGAAGGAGAGATATTTGAGGAGCTTTCAAAAGTTGAAGGGCTCAATGAGGACGAACAGCTTGTAGCCTACGACTATCTTACCGAGGATGCGGCTCGAGGAAGAAACTTTATTGGGTTACCAATTCATCGGAGGAAAAGGTGGTTGGAGATTAAGCTTGGATGGGCATCACACAATCTTGATATCGGTACTAGGAGGTAATTTTGCAATGAAACATTCCTTTGCCTAATATAAAAGCTTGGATGGGCATACTTGCATGTGATATATTCTACATTCTGATGCATATGAGGACTTGAAATAAATTAATAGATCTTCATCTATTGTCAGTGAAATAAGTCTTTATCTATTTTTTATTAAAATGTATATAAACTGTTTCTTCTGGTTCTACCACTTTTCTAGCAAATAATTCTTTGGAGGAACTGAGATATATCACTTATGATTCAAGAAATGAGTTGTTTCCTACTTGTCTAGGCATGGATGCGAGATTAACTTCATCTATAAGTTCATCTATAAGTTATGAAATTTCCTTATGAAATTACTAATAGATAGGAACTTTTTGTTGTAACTTATATGCTCTGATTAACTTCATCTATAAGTTCTTTCATTTTATTGTGATGTCTGTGTGTCTTACTATGTATGTTTGCTTGCCTTTGCTTCTGGAGTTTATGCACATATGATCATGTCAATATAATATTTTAACCATCAGTTTCCTCTGTTTGTTATGAAAATGAGCTTTTTCGGCAAGTCTTTCTGTAGTAGGAACCAAGGACTAAGTTTGGGTCTTTGTTAATTCTGTTTTGTGATCTATTACAATCAATTTTATAGGTTTTGATGTTTATATTCTACTTATTTAAAAAATTTTAAATTAATTTCAGGGGATGAAGGATGCGAGATTGATGTTTTGATGGGCTCACTAAAGTCAAAAACCAAGGACTTCGACATATTTTTCTCTCTCTCTTTGGTTAAGATTCTCTATATATGAAATTGATTGTAAAAGATTTTGTTGGTTAAGATTTTTTATATGAAATTGATTGTAATAGACTCTGTGACTAGAAATGGATTATACTTTATATTAGGAATATCATGACATTTACTTTATATTTGTTTTGGTTCTTTCATTGACCTTTCTTTCTGCAAATATTATGGGTGAGAAATGTTGTTCTTTAATTAGCGGAATTGTGGTTGTGTTTCTGCTTGTTAATATTTACAAACTCAATGTTGATGGCCACTCAAGTTTTTGTGTTAGGAAATTGCCAATTTTTTTAAATACATGTTTATTAACCTGTTACTTCCTAAGATATGAATGATACTAATTTTGAATAATTATGCTTGAATTGCATCATTGTCTAGAGCTTATTCGGAATCATCTTTCTTCACCTGAGGTTATAAATAACTTGCAAGTCCAAGACCATGTAAGATTATATGCAAATTTAGAGTCATCGTAGATTTGACTAAATTTTCTTGAATTAAGATTGTGTAAACATGAACAATAACTTGTAATTTTTTTTGAAAATATGACAGAATTACAATTTAATTTAATTATTTTTTGTAAATTATTTAAAATCTAAATCTAAATCCAAAAAGTATGAATTAAAATTATGTTGTGATAATTTTCTTCCTCTTTTCCTCAGAAAGGCAACCAAACAAGAGAAAATGACTTTCTTATGAATTTTCTTCCAACTTTTCTTACAATATTCTTTCTAACCAAACAATAAAAAGAATACCATTTTCTTTTCTTTTTCTTTTCCTTTCTTTTTACTTTCTCTTTCTTTTCCCTTTCTCTCCCTTTCTTTCAAACCAAACATAGCCTCAAAGTTGTTTACTTTTTCTTAAAGTTTCATTATTCTTTTCTCACATGGATTTCCCATGTGAGAACGCGGGGATTCAACAAATAGGATTGCGTTCAAAGCGAATACTTATACCGTAACTTTTTTTTGCAATTATTTTCATCTTAGAAATATTTTTTGAACTGATAAACAGGGAGAGATTCCCTGTTCATAATATATATAAGCTTACTAAACCGTAAAATATACAAACTGAACAATATGTGTAGAGAGAAAACATGGGACTAATTGAACGATAGGGAGCGAACCTTGTTGTCACCTATCAGAACAAGAAGTCAATGATTCTACCCCACAGCAGATTAAACTACTATATCACAAGGAAACTGTCAAAAGAAAAACCCAAAACATAGAGTTTGAGAGAACTAGAAGAACATAACACAAAAGACACCCCCCTGAGACCGAAACAAAAAGAAGAGGAAGACATGGACTTTGCCTACTGTTGAAGGGTGAGACCGACAGTCTCTCTAGAAGTTATCCACTGCAACGTCAGCATTTTCCTTCTTCGCGATTTCCTGGAATTCCAACTTTATGGCAGCCCTGCGAATTCTTCTTACCATTCTATCTTTTTCAGCCCATGTCCATAAAAGAGTGTATCTTGCTATATTAGAGGCAATATTATCAGGGGTCGGCAAAAATATCTCTAAATATAAGTTAATTGCGACTATTCCAAATCCACCAGCAAATATCAGGACTCGTGCAAAAAAAGTATCTCAAATTGTAGTAACTAGTAGATCAAAAGTAAGAAAATATAACTATTTAAGAACTAATTCAATATCCCTTTATATGAAAATGTCAAAAGTTTGTACCACATTAACTTAACCAGGCCAAGCGGAGGGACCTCTGGCCCAACGGCTAAGTCCTGATTTAGCAAAGTTTACGCCAAGACTTGAACTAATCTTACTGGGCCGATTTTTGGGCCCAAACTGATTTTTTTCATTTTCATAATCCATCCCTCACTCTGGTTAATTTTTGAAACAATTTAAGAAGTAAAACTAGTTTATCCCCTTTTGCCAAATGGAAGCCTTAGAATCGGAGGGATGGGCTTAGATTTTCATGACGTAAACCAAACATTAGCGAAACCTCGACAAGCTTGGAACTCAACAAAATAAATATCTGGTAACTTGTTATGTGAAGTATGTATAGGGTTAATTTTAGTTTCTTATTATTCTTAAATTTTTTTTATGTAACATTTACCACTTAGACCTCCTAAATGCCCAAATGAAACTTCCCCTCTAATTACGTTTACTATTTGAATTTGCCCATTGCAAACAACACCACCAATTTATATTTTCTATAAGCAACAAACGGGCCCAAATGTTTAAAGCCCAAAACCAGTAGGCTATAGACCCAAAAGTTCAAAACCCAAAAAAGCCGTAATCCAAAACTCAAAACTAATATTTTAACCAA